ACGAGAGAACGCTGAAGTTGCGGGTTTCTGGTAGGCCCTGCTCGGTCATTGTATTGTTGTTATGTCGTGTGTTTAGTCACAACATGGACGTCGGGGTGAGAAGTGCGACGGGCTGCGGGTAAGTTGTAGTTGAATTTATGCTTTTATGGGTGTTGATGATAGAGGACTTCAGCTGTACATTGTGAGGGTAGAAGTGTACGAAAACTGGAGTTTCACCCGTTTTACGTGAACTGGTATAAAACTCCGTGAAAAACGCGATATTCACACTACATAGTAGTCGCGAAATATGTTTTTCACTAGTGTCTTTTCATATCACGGGTGAAACTCCACTGATAAAAAATTCCGGGAATTTCTTCAGAATTGCCGTATTGTCACCTACTCATGTGCTTATTCGCTCACTGTGATGAGGAGCTCTGACGCAGAATCGTTTATGGACTATTTAATGGGGATAGGAAGCTGGAGAAAATAATACTGGATAGCAAGTTATTTCGAAGTTTTGCCCGAATTTTCGCTAATTTACCAATTTTTTGGGGGGAAAATGCACATTTTTAAGACTTTTTTTGATGGAATAAATGAGCCCACTTTATAAGGAAATAGCTGGTCGCTTCACGAACTTACTGACTTGTATTGAACATTGAAGTTTCACCCGTTTCACGTGAAGTGGCGTAATACTCGGTGAAAAACGCGATATTTAGTGTTTTGTTGTTCACTAGTGCTTTTTTTCATATCACGGTCGTGAAGCTGCATTGAACTGATCTCTCGAAGTGAATGCGTAGGTACCTCTCTTGCAAGGTCACTGAGGAGAAATGCAAGTAAGTTGGTGATAAAAGTACAATCACTGAGCTCGGTGTTGAACTAGGCTTCCTATGAAGAAGGATGTGAATGACAGTCTGCGAGTGTTGGCGACTGGCAGCCACCCCTTTCGTGCTGGTGCTGCTGTTGATGGAAATACTCGCGGTAAGCAGTGTTGTTGGTTTAGAAAAATATTCACTACATTACGAGTTGAAGTAGAAGTGCATAAGAAGCTAGGGGAATTTCCCCGGAATTTTCTCATTGTCGTTGAGGCGCGTAGTTGACCATGTGCATATTTTCCTACACTGCGGGGAAGTAAGCACCTCTATGTGCGTTTTTGAGAGCTTCTGGGGAGAGAATCTTAGAATTGAAATTTCAGGATAAATTTTCCCGTTTTTGATCATCTATAAATATTAGTAATTTTGTATCACTTTTAATAGAAAAAAAGTTTGGCAATTCTAAATTCCATTTTTGGAATCGTTTACATATTGTTGTGATGCCAGAGACGGTGAACTGAAGTTAGTGATAATGGAATTGATAGAAAGTTCGATAATAGGCAACTAAAGAAGTATCAGAAGTGAAAAACATAGTTTTAAGCAATCGCACAAGAGAAGACAAAATATCTTCATCCTCTATTTCAGCGATAACGGAGTGTTGTATGAGATTTCGTTCGAAGATGGTAGCTTCGTTGGTGTCGCAAAAATATGTTCGTTATGTGTCAGTTGAGCTTGAAATTTTCCTCAGTAACTATAGCCTTTCACGCACGAATTCGGGTACAAGTGTACAGAAACCGATAAGAATTTCCTCTCAGAATTTTCATATTGTCACCAACACGTGTAGTTAACCATGTGCACATTTCCCACAGCGTCGTTATTCAGGTCACTCGTCACAATGGAAACTTACGTGTTGTTCCAAAGTAGAAGGAGTTCTCTGTTACGGCGATGTTGTTGGTCTAACAAAAAAGGCAAACCCTTATGAATTGCCTCTAGGGGTTTATGATTTTATTAAGATCCGTTCGGATGGTGGGGGTCGTCCTTTTCCAATGGGAGGGGACGAGGCGGCGGGTGGTGGTGCCGAGATGCTCACTGTGGCCCTATGCATTGATAAGGAGGCTACTGTTGGTGCTGTTACTATGGTGAGTATGATAGTTGGTGATGATTGCTAGATGTGTTACGGTGGAGTTTCACCTGTGATATGAGAAGCACTAGTGGAAAATATATTTCACAGTTTACTTTGCGGAAAAACAACTGATCGGTTAATATTGCTAATTTCCACCTAGAGTATTATCCAATGTCATGTAGAGCGAGTGAAACTCCAGTATAGTTCATTGATAGCGTAACGTAGTTACATGTAAAGTGTTATTAGTTTATTAACGTTTTGTACGCTGAAAGGCATCTCAAAAACTTTCAATTCTCATTGTTTCAGTCGGTACACACACATGCGGGAATTCCCTCGAAGTTGAAGTTGCCAGAGTTGTGTCGGTGGACATTGATTTGCCCTGAAGACATAGATAGGAAAACAGCGATACCGTTGAGAGCCCCCCGGGTTCTGTTGAGGAATAGATGGGGACAGTGAGCACACCAAAAAAAATTTTTTCTGTGTGGAAATTACCGTTGTTGAATTTAGATACCTTTCGGTGGCTGACATGACGTCATCGTCATCGGCTCGGTCACCTGATCTATGTTGTAGAGAATCGTCTAAACGTAAAGAGTGTCTATGGTTACTCACGCGGTTGGACGCTATATTGCCTTGTGATAATGGCAATGATACGAATGAGCACGGTAAGGGGAGGAATACCAAAATATGTATTGGAGTTTCACGACTGTGATATGAAAAACATATTTCACGACTACTGCATATCACCGCGAATTTCGCGTTTTTCACCGAGTTTTACGCCACTTCACGTTAAACGGGTGAAACTGCACTATCTGTATAGGTAATTATATTGAAGTTTCACCCGTTCCACGTGAAACTCGGTAAAGAACGCGATATTCGTGGTATGCAGTAGCCGGGAAATATGTTTCTCACTGGGGTTTTTCAAAGTTTCAGCCGTGATATGAAGAACACTGGTGAAAAACCTATTTCACGACTACTGCATATCACCGCGAATTTCGCGTTTTCACCGAGTTTTATGCCACTTCACGTAAACCGGGTGAACTCCGTTGTAGTACTTTCGCTGTATTTGTGGTATATGTATAGGAAATTATATGCATGGATAGACTTATAAGGAATATAGTTGTTCCTTCCAATGAATTTTCGGCAGTGAAGTTATGAAGTGTATCACATAGTTTTACTCTGGCAGATCCGTGGCCCTTCGTTCCTCTACTACCAAGAATAGATTTTTCCACAATGCGAGTCGAGGCGCAGGAAAGGGTAAAGTGCCTTGATAATTCCACGTGTATTTTTGTGGTATGCAGATGTTGATGTTGGAAATCCTCGGGGCGATGCTGGGCGGACGGTCAGCGCATATAACACATAAGACTACACATAGGAGCACAACAGCTTCGGGGTAGGTTTTGTGAGTAGTCGATTTTACGAATCATTGTTTATAATGTTAACGTATATGGCAGTGTGAGAAAATATGCACACTGGGGGGATATTGAAATTCTGAGGAAATTTTGGAAATTTTTCATGGGTTTCTGTACGCTTGTACCCGAATTCGCATATAAACTCCTATAATTAGTGAGGAAACTCTTGAGCTCAATATGGTAGTCGCACGTGCAAGCTCGTTGTCGGGGGTCATTCATATAGTGGAGTTTTTCTATTGTGTATAGCATCCTGAAGTAAACTGTATTATTTCGGCAATTTAGTCTATCCTAGGTCCCCATGGGAAAACCGTGTTCGTTTGATGCTATGTGGTGTCAATGGTTGTGATATTTCTCTGCAACAAGTCGCCACCCAGATGCTACCGACGATCGAACACCTACACTTTGTGAAGTCATATCTCCAGGTGAGCGACTTGGCATCTTATTTGAATTGGTGTTAGAATATATATACACCGTTATTCTCTGTCTCGAATCTGGATAGAGCAGCAAAAATTCAACTAGAACTATGTAATCGATCAGCGCGTGAGGTCTGGCACCTGCACTCTCTATACATGCATTCACTCGATAACGCAATCTTACAGTGTCGCGAGGTTCTCGCGGCGAGGAAGTGTGAAACTCAGGTTGGGAAAAAATTGAATCTCAGAATCGGCGTAGATAGTCATTGAGCACGTATTGATCTATTATATGGTACTCAGGAAATTTTGGAATTTTAGTTTTTTTCCCCGCGAATTTTTCTAAAACTAGGTTGAGTGAAAGTTTGAAACTCGACCGTATACTTCTACAGGGTATAGCTGTTCGAATGGTAGAGCGGAAAATACGCAAAAAATCTGAAATTCCAAAATTATGCGAAGTTTCACCCGTTCTACGTGGGATGGCGTAATACTCTATGTGAAAAACGCGATATGAAGTGAATTGAAAGTACTAGGCGAATTACACTGGTCAAATCACCCCAGATCACGTAAAACGCTGTTTTACGCGTTATTCACTGCTTACATGCGTTTTTTCGCGAAGTGAAATGTAGAATATGTTGTTCACCAGTGTTTTTAATACCACGGATGAAACTGCACTGGAGTTTCACCCTAGTGATATGAGAAAAACTAGTGGAAAACATATTTCACGACTACTGCATAGCTCAAATTTCGGGGTTTTCACCAAGTATTGCGCCATTTCACGTAGAACGGGTGAAACCTCCACTATAATTCCTCCCAGATTTGAGCACCTTTTTTATCACTATCATAGCTTCTCAGGAACATGAGGGTTGGGGCTTCGGAACGATCTGTGAAGGCCTTTGTGAGGAGCTCAACAGTCTTGTAGGTCGTGATGACGGAGGGCGTGGTAGAGTGCCTTTGCTGATCAGATAGCAGACATATATGTCAGAGTTGCCGAGTTACGTACGAAGGTTGATGCTAATACGGATATGAGCTTAAGCGCGGTGAAGTGAGGATTTGGACTCTCTCATTTTGTGTGATGTGTTAGGAAATCTCGGGTCAAGATGAGAGGAGTTTCGCAGAAAGTTGTCAAATTGAAAGACACAATTCTTTTCTCCCCTGGTTTTTACAGGCTTCATTGTATTCAGGTTGTGCCTTGTACGTACTAGTCAGGAGCTGGAGTTGGTCTGTAGGGTGCTGCGGAAATGCTGGCATCAGCGCGGCGGAGCCATTATTGATTCTATACATGATCAGAGAATTACCATGCATGGTGAGAGCACTGTTGAAGGAATGTATGTTCGTTTTCCTGAGCTCAGAGGTTTACATATGAACTCGGGTTGAAATTTACGCGAAATTTTATCACAATTTTCATATTGTCGTAAAAAACGTAGTTGAACATGTGCCAACAAGTTGATATCATTTTATCAGATAACGCGTTGCATTCGCGACTACTTTCTGCTACCGTGTCACCATTTTTGGATCTCCTGTTCGATTGGATGTTGCAGGGAAAGTAAAAGAAGTGCTTCTCTGTGGACTTCATATTAGTCGTTGAATCAGGCTCACATCCTTGGCGCCGTTATCTCAACAAGAGTTTCTCATAGTTGACACTACACCTGATATGCTGTGCAATTCGTCTGAAGCTGAGAAGTAGTTATCACCGGAGTTTCACCCGTGTTATGAAAAACAGGAGTTCACGACTATTGCATAGTGCGAATATCGCGGAGTATTACACCAAAAAACTCCTCTGAATGTCGCTGTTGGTCCTGTACGGTTCCCTATGGCAGATTCTGGAATGATAGATTCATGGTGGTCACTGAGCTCATGCCATTTTTCATCACAAACAATATGGAGAGGAAAATTCTCGAGGGCGGTCGGGCTCTCCGGGTGAATATTCGCTGCTTGGTATCGACGATTTGGAGGAAAGTACTCAGGTCCTTAAGACGAATACGTTCCTGCCGGCACCACCAGATGACGTTGTCAAGTTGTGCTCGTTACCGTAAATTGCCCAACATATGAGGAATTCAATGATGTACCTCTGTTGTAGGGGTACAGCGATGGAGGAAGCCTGGCGCCGGGCTCTGGCCATTCTGGTTGATAAGGCGAGGAAATGGGCGGCTGAGCAACTGTATGCATACTTCGTGGATTCACTTGATCTCAAAGTGAGCTCCATTCGTTTTTTGTGAAGTGGTGTAAAACTCTGTGAAAAACGCGATATTCGCAGTATGAAGTATTCGTGAACTATATTTTTCACTGGGGCTTTTCATATCACTAGGGTGAAACTCTAACGTAATATACTATATAAAGATATTATAAATAGTGCGAGAAATTTCCAATCGAAGACAGCGTATTTTCCTCATCCACATAGAATGATGTTTGGTGTCCATAACGATGATGTTTATGGTGGAATTGTCAGGGTCGTTTGTCGTCAATTCACTCACATTTCCTTCTTGCGAGGAGTGACTGGTTATCGCATTTCCTGGACTCTGCTGGAGAGGAGCTCGAGACGCAGCTTGTGGAATCAATTGATATGAACAGGATCAACACTCTGCTCGACTTTGCAATACGATCGAATGTTAGCAGTAAGTTTAGCGCTTACTCGTATGATCTTGGCGATTTTGACGTCACATTGAGTGCTGCGGCGAGCTTATAATAGAAGTTTTTAACATATTCGTAATGTATATTTCATGATGCACATGTATTTGTATGATTGGTTATTCTAAAGGAGTAGATGATATTATACGCGCAGACGTTTTATGTGTTCGTTATTACTATTATTTCCGACTAGTGTGGAAAAATCTGCAAATGGTCAACTGCATGTGTTGATGACAGTAGAGGAAATTATCATCGGTTTCTACGCAGTTGTACGCGAACTTGTATGATGAGCGAGGAAACTCCTGAGCTCAGCTCAGCCGTTGTAGGCACTCACACTGATCCGCATTGTGGGGAGATGATTGCCTGTATGCACACCTTCCTCACTGAGGAGACTCCTAGGAAGTAAATCTCATATTACATCCCGCTGTAGTGAAGTGTTTCCCCACAGACTCGCTTCGAGGAGTTATACGCCATATACGATAGTACAGCGCAGTGCTGACGCCTCTAGAGCGCCTACGGGGATCAGGTAGGGTTGTGTGCGATCGTGCTTGCCGGTGGGGTTTTACTTGCATTTTAGTATGGTGTTTTTGAGCGCGCTTGAAATCGGTGTTGGAATATATGTTCGGTTACTTCAGCTGAGCTTGGAAGTTTTCTTACTAATAATAGAAGTCCACGCATGAATTCGGGTAGAAGTGTAGAGAAACCAATGAGCATCTCTCGGAATTTCCTCAGAATTCTCGTATTTTTTATGTGCATATTTTCCCACCCTACTTCGAGTAGAGATATGATCATCCAGTGCCAGTCGAAAACCTAGGAAAGCGTGATGAAAATTATTGCACGATAGTTCCTGTTTGTGCTCAGGTGCTTCACACTGGGACTACGAGAAGTTAAATGGCCACTATCACTGATCCTGTCAACACCTGCGGTGTTTAAACTACAAGTTATTTTCCGACACCTTTGCTATTGCCGGTGAGTGCATGGTTATAAACCCGACTTGACAGTGTTGCTCACTTCAGATGGGTCCAGAATAGGCTCTCTCAAGTGTGGTTGGACTTTCAATCTACGAAGCCTTTCTATTCGCCGGGACAAGACACTGAAGGTGAGGAGCTGCTGATAAACTCCATCATCAGTGTGGGGGGAAAATATGCACATTGTCGGCTACATGTGTTGGTGATGACAATATGGAAATTTCGAGGAAATTTCACCCGAGTTTGTGTGTAAAGTTGTGTAATTAGTGAGGAAACTCCCAAAATAAGTTGAGGAAAGCAAGCGTATATTCCTCCAACACTGTTCATCGCTGTGAAGGTCTACAAGCTGTATTCGACTCGTCGGTGCTGCTGTGCCGTATGAAGCAGTTCGTGACGAATTACGTCTACTACGCTACGACTGAGGTCATTCAGCCCAGGTTTGAGACGTAGACCCACTACTACGTTTGAGGAGATCTAACAGTGGGTCGCCGCAGGTTCCTGCAGATGTTAGAATCATCGTCGGCGAATAACGACCACAGCGGTGTCGCTGCTCCGAAGGCCGCTTCTCTGGAGACAGTGATGTCAAGTTTCCAGCAACTTCTTGATACACTATTGAGGGTGGTCTCTTGCTGATGATTTGTTGATGGACACTGTGTGGTGGCTTTTAGGAGATGTTATTGACATCAGAATCGGTAGCCTTGTATAAGTACCTCGCTAAGATACTGTCGACTTGTTCTCTTTACGCTAAACATATGGGCAACTTCAGTATAGGCGACACTGGTGAGTTATGAACAATCGTGTATTTTGTGCGCAGGAGGCGTAGACCATGTATAGACGAAAAACAATGATAAGGCTAGCTGCAATCAGTACTTAGTCCCCGAAATTAGAGATCAAGAGTGGATATCGTTTTGCCTCACAATGGTGCTGAGCTTAGGTCTGGGCAAGAGTCGTGACGACGTTAGCTATCACGATGTGAGTAGTATTATGCAAAGCGAATCCACTATAGGAAGATCAGCTCGAGAGAGCAGACTTGATGTAAGTTCTTTTATGGTATGAGCTTCCATTTACTGTATGAGCATTCCCCTTGCTTCTTGTGAGTAAACTTGAATGAAATTTCATTTCAGGCAACCAGAGAACACTACGTGAATAAAGTCTCCGCCAAGCATTATCAGGCAATGATTGATAAATTCCGGTAGGCTTTCACTACTACGTACTTTGATCAATTTTGTCGCAACTTTCAGGGATACTTTTGACTCCCATCTCAAGGGTTTTCTAGGAGCACTACAAAACCGGACAGCGGAGCGAGGCAGTGCTGGTGGGGTTTATGTCCAGCATTTGGCACATCGACTAGACTACAATGATTTCTACACCAAGATGTGAGCTCAGCCACTTGCATGGTTCTGGTTGCTCCGACGATGACCGTTCTATTAGAATTTACATTTTTGCTATCACAATTGGTTCGTCGATCGATATGGTTCGACTTCGTTGTGTGTAGTAATGTGAATTTCAAATTTTATCTCAAGTCGTTTATCACTATATATTGTGCATACAGGTACGGCTTTGATGTCACTGACCACTGGGGCGCTTGAATTAATCAACTAGTACATGGTACTGGCTGCATCCGTTTCAATGCCTTTCTGTTGTGTTGCAAAAAGGCAATTCCTCATCAGAATTGGTACATCTATTATAAGCGAGAATGGTCGCGTTACTCCCAATGTATAAACTTCTCAACGTGGCCCACAGTGAAGAGAGTTGTAAACATGATGCAGTATAGCACCGATAGCTCCCAATACATCATGAATCATAATTCATGATTGATTTTAATTTAGTCTTTACACACCGCAGCAGGAGAAAAATAGTACATTCTTGCCAAACCCCACTCTATCTCGAATGGAATGAGGTTTGAACGACGTGGACAATATTCAATCCATTTGACAGAGGATATGAATTAGGGCACTTATAACACAAGTATCGTAATCTCGGAAATCGTTCTATAAAACCGTCAACAGCCTTAAAGCCGGACGAATAAAAAAGTCAACTGTGCTATATAAATCAATTCAACATTCGAGCCGATCCACTCGACGATGGGAACTTCGATAAAACCCGCGTTATAAGATACCTAATGGTGATCATAGGCAGGAACGCGGAGACGAGAAGATGTAGTGGACCCACAGAGTATGATAATAACAGAAATGAGACCTTAGATGGTGGTCAGAATAATGAATAAACGACTTGAGAGCCGATGTCTTCAACGCTCGAATGATTTCCACGCTGCTCACTGGAAGTAGTCGTAATCCAGTTAGATCACTCTATACTGGAAGAATTGGAGTCAAAAGCGGTGACAAGATCCGAGTGGCCTGGGCTCGGTCTGTCACATAAAATGTCACGTATTAGAAAGTGACAGGGCCGACAGACCAGAGGACATATCGATGTGTCCACCGAGGCCGCCAAAAGACCAAACTAATCCATGCAGAAAATGTTACTCCTGAGGAAAACTGCCACTTATTTGGTAGATGGTCAGCAGTAGCGGCAACGAAGTCCAAGTAAATGCTGGCACCAGCTACCAAGACCGAGTGACTGACGCCTATCTTACCATAGGCCGTCACTGTGTTGTTAGGGGCAGCGGTACAACCGATTTCTCCAGATATAGTGAAGTCGATTATGCTACCAATAACAGGCAAGTTGACATCGAAAGAGACAGACACCCCGACAGAGGCAGCGAAAGACAGAGTCGAATTGGCGTAGTGTATACCGCCTTTCGCTGTCAGGCAAACTGTAATAGTGATGCTGATGCCCTCACCCAACTGCCAAATCGTAGCACAACCTCTGGCTGTAACACTCAGGTCGATGGCAATATTCTTGTTGTCCGGACCCACCGCCAATGCTACTGCTAGATAGAGCTCCGCCACACGCCCTGGCTTATTGACGTCGGGGAGGCGAATCCCGGCACTGAGACTGCCGCTCGCCTGGAATATGTCCCCATCGGCCAAAACAAACAGACATAACTCATTCTTCTTAGCAGTATCGTTGCAGGAGGTGGGATATTGGAACTCGAAAACAGTCATCAGATGCCTTGGGGCGTTCACTGTTTTGAAGTAGGCATGAGCAGCCGTGCCCTCTTCCACTGTGAAGAAATTAATAACCTCAGAAGAACGTAGCTGCCGACGTGCCGACCATGGCGTTGGCTCGGGGAGATCCATCGAGTCAGAAGGTATGTGACCAGAAAGTAGACTGGCACGTAGGCTTGAGAATCCATCATCATAATCTTCGTTGCCACTGTCAGTACTAGCGGCCGAAAATAGATCTCCTTTGCCAGAACCAACTCGATATAAGTCATACATATGCTTTCTGGCATCTTCCACAGCAAGATGATGATCCCTTCTTTGAAACTTTGAGAAACGCATCTCCTGGTGAATTACGTGACCATGTCTAGCATTAGTAGCCACTATCTTCACCGGCTCCGTATTGTCCTCGTTAGTGTGGAGCGTCCAAGTGTCTGGTCCCAGGTTGGCCATATAAATAGCAGAATAATTAACACCTGTCGCGGGGTCTACACCATGATGGCTTGGCTTAACCCATTTGTTGATCTTCTTGCGGTGTTTCACAGAGGTACCATGAAAAGTCCACCCGTCTTCTTCAAGCGTCTTCAACGAACTTGGCGATATCGGCGGTGTATCAGAGGAAGGAGCTTGGCTGCCCACGAAAATAGCTTCACCGTTCATGAGTCGTTCAACGGTTGTCGAGTGGTGGGCCGTAGTCCTCATGAAGTACTGGTAGGGATAGCTTGGGTGAGCTTCTACGGTAACCTCAGAACCATCACTTGCGATGATAACGTGAGACCTCGTCGTTAAAATGCCATCTTCCATGCCAGGGAGGGTCAACCCGGCCGTCTCCATAGCGACAGACTTGCCACAAGTTGACGGGAAGCCTTTAGCGTCGCGTAAACCTTCAATACAATGGAGCCTAGTCTCGACGTGGAACTCATAGTGTAGGTATTGTTCTTGAATAGTTTCTCCCGCTTGGGCGGTTAGAAAGGGTAAAGTTGTTGAGAGGAAGAGTGTTCGCATGGCGAGCATACTATATCACAGAGAAACCCTAAGATTCGACCCAGGATTAGCTGGGCTGCGAGTAACAAAATAGACAGTTCTAGGCAATAGCTTTATCGAATCCCGAGAGCCCGACGCAGACGTGGAACGCCAATTTTCATCCGCTCGAGCCGTCACGTCACGGTGGGCGAGCGCAAGCTCGCCAAGGTATGTTCATCTTCGCGCGCTACAAATTTTCTACCCTTGGCCACACTTTTTCTTCGGCGGCCACTTTTTTACTTTCCGAGTCACAAACTGCGTTTTATTTGTGTGTGCCGGTACAGTACCCTGCCTAGTTATGGGATGAGACTGGTGGATGATTTTGTGAACAAATCCTGGATAGTATCCAGGTATCGTGGTATCCAGTGGATACCACGAACCAGTCTTCACTGTGGTTCTTGCTTGCAAATAGTTCAACTCGGCATCGCTTCGTTCGATCTGTGGCATACGCATTATTCATCACACATCCGCTTATCGTGTAGCATCTGGACGCCCGTGACGGACGGTCAGTCCGTCTATTTTGGGCGCTATAATCCAATAATGAAGTACATCTCAACACAAGATTCGTAGTGAAATAGGCGTTGCATTTAGTGCTGAAGTATGACTAATTTCGTAGATCGACCCAACGCTAGCTGGTTAGTCAGAGGGGGCACATGATAGAATTGTATAGATGATACGCGAGCTTTGGCATGGAGAGATATAGCCTTGGAGAGATGTTATAACTGATATGTACCAGCAAGTTGGCGTGTACTACACGCTAACTTGCTGCTGAGGGGAATGTGTTCCTTGTTTATAGCAGAGAAAACGCCATCATTAGTATTGTGCCCACGCATGCCAGATATCTCATTGTGGGCATGAATACTAGGCTGAGGATCGTCCCACTGCTCTTCATATGTGCGTGGCAAGTTGCCACTGGCAACGACTGAACGCAATACTGGATTAAAAGTGAAATCCAACCAGTCCGTGATTTAACTTCCGCTTCTCACTGCCAGAAGCCGCATGAATGAACAACATTCTGTAACTTACGTAAAATACACTGGCAACTTGAGTCGACCTCATTAATAAGCAATGCAGCAACACGTTGGAACTCATAGGTCCAAGACATATCGATGGCGATGTGAGGAGTAGACTAGGTATGCGTGGATGCATAGACGAGACCGATGCACGCCGTCTAAGGGGATCCTTAGCAGCTGCTCGCAATAAGTACCTGTACCACATGACTGACAGAAGAGCACCCGAAAACGTTTCTTGCCTGTTCCTGCACCAAGTCATTCCAGTATGGTAGAACCATCGGAGCATATGAGCGCCAACGACGGCGAGCGATGGCCAAAGGTACCCTCCAGCGAGACCTGAAGAAGCCACATGTGGGAAGAGTCATAGAATGGCGTATATGATCCACTACGCATTTCAATGTGCAAGTTTGACAAGCGAGCATGGCGGAAAACAAGGCAAGTAGTTGAGTTATCGTATAGAAGCTCCGCCGTGAATCTGTTGAGGAGACAGGCGATGCCCAGGGCTAGTCCATTGCCGACAACACCTGGCCGATCTCTCATAGTGTTTAATTGTACGCGTGCATGATATAACGTCGTGACAGTTTGGGGGAAACAGCAGTATTCAGCTGTGACGAAGGATGACCTGAATGTGGTCATCACAGTGAACTCCCCGAGCTCACTTCCACATGTCGAGCGGGTTGTGGACAGTGAGGATCTTTTCATCGTGACCAAGGATGATAACCGAAGACACACGGTAGCTATCCAGGACTCGAGGTCTTCATCTTTGGAGATGCCAGCAAGGTGATAGCCTGTCGTCACCACTGCCACACCACTCTCACGCACGCTCAAGTCCCGTGGCAGTATGGAAAGTGATGCTATTCGAGCGTCTCGCGTTATTCTGATCATTTTCGCCGCAGGACCTCGAGACTCCTTCAGCACTCTAGTTGTTCTCTATTTATTTGCGATCCCTTCACGCGCAATATACTAGTTATGACCGGCGAATGTATCCCATCAAGCTCAAGGCAAGAGGGCTTTGTTCTCGTTGAGAATCGTCAATGCGAGCTATTTGCCTACTTTGTCGAATACGGAACGGTTTAGTAGTGCTCAGTAACCTTTAGTGTTGTCAAATGACTGATAGAATCTCACCCGCCGGAAGGCCGACTGGACAACACAACTCCAATGTACACACACGAAACAGGGTGAGTCAAGACATATAGTAATTAAATAGCACATTTATATTCCCACGACCTGTATCACACACCACATTTCAGCACATAACTCTTCTGAGTCGATCGATATATGATTCATCAGGAGGGCTTCTATTCGATCTCTGCAGCCGTATCGAGAGCTCCAAAAGCAGCAGGGAAACCCTCAGGGGCCGGATACGAAATAGGTGCGGTCCTCAAAAACTAATGATCTTCTCTGGTCAACGAGCAGTGCTCGCTCTCCATCTCAGTCGCGGTCAATCGATCATCGCCGACCAAATCGACACCTCCATACAGCTTAAGTGCTATCGACGAGAAATGGCGTTTGTTTATGCCTTCATGATCGATGTGTATCAATGACAGAATACTATTGGAGATAGTCGTCCTGTGTTCACTCCTGCATTGAGTTATAATAGGTCACATCAAAGGAACATCATAACAAATGCACGAGTTTCGTCTCAAGTGGAGTAACCAGGAATCGAACCCGCGACCTACACGTTGGCAACCAATAGTACATCCGTAGTCTCCTTTCACGATCACTAACGCTATCATGCAATACCAATAACACTTCGAACAAGACCATCCACATTTAAACTAACTGCTTCAACTCTCGAGTTGCAGACTGATCGAACCGACGAGTCTCGTCTTTGCAATACCCTCTCACTATTGCCGCCCGCATCAATTCCGCTGCACCACATTCCAGTCTGATGCGTCAATGAACAACCGCTGACTTGGCAAGAGCCAGTACATCCCGTCGTGGTTCAAACAATGTCAACATATTTTTCCTATAACACCATTGTACGTTTCTACCACGAACAACCACGAACAACCACGAATACACGCAATTAACATCATGTTTCTCCAACACCAAAACTTGTCCAACTGATAGAAAAAAAAGCACACAAATGAACGTTTGACGTTCACATGAGCTGTGAAAAAAACAGAATTCCGATCTACTTCTCTTTCAACTTTAACTTCTGCGCTGGAGGATATTTCGCGTACCTACATCCACGATCAAGTCAAATATAAGAGATACGCCGTACATGTAAGTAGCAAGTAGAGTCACTGGCATCGCCATACAGACTTCTGTTCTCAACGGAGCATTCACCAAAACACTCCGAAGGATCGCTGTGATAATAATACCACCAATTATTGAGAAACCCTTGTGCACCTGATACGTGAGAAATTGCGGAAAAATCAACTAAGTCAAATTCCAGTCACATTTCCATTTGCATAAAACCCCCAAACGATATTCTGTCTCTCTTGACCAAGATAAGAATAAGCTGCAACATGTGACTCCAGAATGGACTCTGGATGTACGTACAAAGAGTTACGAAAATCACGTATATATGTTTATACATGAATTCCCATACACACACCGTATGAGAATATGTACGCTTATAGTGTGCACATGAACTCTGCCGATCACTGACAATTCAGTGGCACTCGACCCTCAAAGAATATCAATATAAATTCTAGAGTCGAAATCTCGCAGTATAAACTGAACACGAAACTCTATTATAATTTCCAATTTCCCCGGAGTAAAATCCCTAACCTCACGTGCATTACACTGCCAGCATGTTTCGTGACTTGTCCAACGACAATACCGCCTATTGCTTGAGTAACTAATGACAACAGTAACTTCTCATCTACCTCCAGAGGGCATATCACAAATTGGTAATAATGAAATCCCCGCCACGAAATTGGGACGTAGCATAGGAACTTCCCCGTGAGCTATGGACTCGACAACTATGATCAGAATTGCTGAATACATCGCTAGTTCTCCAGAAAGAAGGTAACTGAGAAAAAACGTCACGCGCCACGAAATTCAGTACACATGAGCATTCAAAAAAAGCATTCCTAAACTCCTCCCCGATAACAGTGAAAAAATCTCAAAAAAATTTTCTAATAAAAAAATCCCCAACGAAAATCACATTCTTTTCACAACATTATTCCTGTAAGACACTACTATAATTGCATATTTTCGTTAACTGAAATTAAGCATTATATTCCCGTATTACCTATTGCGATGATACGACCTCAATGCAAGCTCAGTAATAGCAGCTCCCACTCCCGACAAGAAACTCGCTGATATAACCTTATTATAAAAGAACAGTCCCGATGAATAAATGGAGTTGCATCAGCATCCCGTGATTTCCTATACCATAATAAGAGTGTAAGGGCACATCTAGAGGTTCAATCTGCACGTCAACACATGAAAGCGTCTTAAGTGAGGCGCGCGCTAATTACACAGAGACGCGACAGATGAAACTAATGTTGCACGAGATGCCTCAAGGATTTCACCAACCTAATGTAAGGCATCCACACTTCTATGCTGGGCTCGACAGTATCCTCACAAGGTCGAGAATACAGTGTTTATCAATGACAACTATCACGATCCTGTGAATGCTACGCTATAAATATGCGCCTATTTTAACAACTACAGAGTTAACCACATCTTAATACGAGCTTTCGATATAACCTTGTAATTTTCATACATCTATATACACTACGGGCAATCTGAAAACTCCATTTCGTGTAGTAGCCGTACTGCTTAAACAATTATTCATATCAACTTGAAATCTTGTACATAAAACCACCGATAAGCTACTCAAATATGGGTGACAATATTACAGCTAACATTCCTAACGTGAGGTTCTTCTCATCGTATTCATCATTCAATCCAGTTTGCTCACCTACTGCAAACATACTGCTATAATCTCAAACTATTACTACCAATAGATATCAAGACAGCAGATATGAATAACATTGATAAGGCCAAAATCTGCACAGAACTCTGCCCTCTGCCAAGTAAGAAGTACGTGAGAACCTGATGCGCTCCATACCACAATTCCCATAGAATTTCGTGGCGCGTTAAAACTCTCGCTCATGTTGTTCACCACAGCCAATTAAAGTGTGAATATATACTGTGATTGTGAATACCACAATCAAATTAATAGTCAACAATCTCTATTCCGGCCGAACCAATAGCCCAGTTGCACTTGATTATTATGATAGCAACATAAGCGAGCTATGACAGTACTAGCTTTAAAAACCAACCACACCAGATTTTATATTCTCTATTCCTAGGTTCAGCGTGTTCTACCATAACATACTATCACTGAAAACACCAAGTCAATAATCTTCCCAAGTATTACCGCAGTCCATAACAACTTAGTTTGGTTAACCAAGTTGAACACTAGTGGGTCGAGATTACGATAGGCCGTTTGTATGCATACATTCTGTGCAGCATATGTAGCCGCAGGCAGGGCCGCAACAGCTAAGCTCGAGAGTGGCCGCCAGCTCTTGATACACTCAATGATCGATCCTGAAATAAATGGGAATTAGGGAGAGGGAAAAATTCTGGGGGATGTCACCTTCGAGCATCATGAACAGAACTGCAAACATAAGTTTGAATATTTCTACCAGCAAAACCACAGTAGTAGCGTTGAGCGAACTGAAAGAGTCAATGAGAATATATATAATACTAAAATATGGCGGTTAGTTTATTCTTGTATTCAATTGATTTTTCATCATATTTCTTATGAATACTGTTTTTAAAAAATACTATACTTTACTATAACAATTAGGAGCGTTTTAGATCACATCGCAAACATACATCACATACACAAAAAGTATGTAATGATTTCACTGTTTGCCACAATGATGATCGGAAGACGGTCACAATTATTTTTGATCAGTTTCATACTAACTTTAGCCATGCATACTTCAACCATATGCTCATATTGACGAGCACGAGTGTAACGAATATAGAACTAGACCCAAGGTATGGAATTCTTACCTGTCAATGAAGTGTGCCTGTAGATGGGGTTGACCACCAAACTGTAGTGCTAGTAAAACCATGAAGAAAAGTCCCTTCAACGTTATGCCATCTGATCGGGATATTTTAGATGAGGACTCAGCATCGTATTCTGTCATATGCGAGAGAAAAAACCCGAAAAAAACTTAGTCGTACAAAATGAAAATAGTAACAACCACAACCGAAGAGTGAATAAACCTCAGGTTCCCAATCTCACGTTCTTCCCCACCACTATGTACCATTTACAATTCAGTTGCACAGACTCCCCGGCTTCCATCCGCTTCTACTCGTCCGAACGGGGACGTCCAGACGGTGTCACTAAATTTGATGTCCTAGATCACTAAAAGCAGCACAATCCTACCCGCCTTCTTGCACTCTTACGCTCACTTGTCAACTCCTTAACACATTGGCAAAAACACACATATACACCCCTCCACATATTCTTAGCATATCCGGTTTTTCGACTCGTGCACAGCCACCACAACGAGTATCATCTTGCGGGTCAGGGAGGTATGTGCTTATGCTTTACCTGATATGACCTCCAAGTTTCAGGGCCTAACTCTTCGTAGTTAGTGAGAAGTCGAAGACCGGTAAAACGTTTTCTCCACATATTCTTAGCATACACGTGTTAAAATTGCGCCTCAAAATACCAACTTTTACTCGGGGAGTATATCTATAACTCCGCTCCTGATCTAATGCTATACATCAACAGAAAGAGAATCGTTCATAATGGCATCCCTCCATGTTTCACTCGCATATTTGGAAGCACAAGCCTGCTAGTGCGTCTTGACCTCCGACGGCTCCTGCATGGCGGATTTTACACCTTGTTACGGCGCGATTTGGTGCTCATCAG